AGGTAGGAAGTCTTCAAATGTATTGAAAAATACTCGCCAATTGAAACTCTTTCATCCTATATATATGATTGTGCTGGATATCATGTGCAATGTTCAATGGGTCAAATTACGGTTTTATCCGTCCCTGTCCTTTGTGATCATCTGTTAAAGTTACTATTTTTACAGGACCAAATGGCAAAGATTGCTTCATCTAAACATAATCGATATTAAATCTGAAATCGAACCAAAAAAGAAGATTTGTAGGGACAGGTATGGTCATACGAGTGTAAAGAAGACTCACATCTAGACTCAGTCGATTAACTAAAAGAAAATCCAGCCATTGGTGTCGATTCTTTCTAATAATTCAACGTCATATAATTTATACCAAATTAGTTTGGAAAATTTTGAATAATACGTTGCTGCTAATTTAACACCGTTTGCTTTCGCTGTTGTCGAATGATTCGTTTGTCATTTTTGGAAAGATGACAATATTTTATTTATCTTATCTTCCTTTTTTTCCTTTTTTCTTTGTTTTATTTGAATATCTTTCAACTATCAACTTTGATGAGAATGACTATACTTATCGAAAGTGAAACATTGAAGAGGAAGAAGCATACTATGAGTAAATGTAAACAAAGGAAAAACCATTATTGTGCAAGAAAGCTCATTTCAAATTGAGTATGCATGATCGTGGATATGATTCACAAATACATAATCATGACTTTTTTCTCCTTTCTATTTCAAATTTTCTTAAAACTAGGAGAATTTCTGATAAAATCATCAACAAATTTCAGTTGCCGATTAAAGCATGAGCCTACATCTCTAATTATGAACATGAAATGACTGTATTTTTAAAGACGATATAAAAATTCATAATTTTCAATATAATAAATAATATTTTCGAATAAAATATAAGTTTTAAAAGATTCAAGTCATTCATCTCATGTATTTTCATAAAAAGAAAGAAAATTTGTTTGCTTGTTGTGGGTATGGTTAATATGCTTTATTTCAAAGAGTCACGACCAAAATCTTTTCATTATCGGAATTCATCGAATATAATCAAGAAAAAATGAAAATGTGTGTTGATATGTGTTTAGAGAAAACTATATATTGGTTGCCAATGTGAAACTTACATTCTTTCGGACGTTGACATGAAATAGAAATTATGGAAATTTTCATGCATATAGAATGAAAATTCTAGAAATCTACTGTTCATCGATTATTTTTCGGCAACAAACAAATCAGTTGACAATCGTTCTTATTTTAGTTATATTTCTGAGGCGTTGACTACTTTTCGGTCTTGATTTTACATCTAATGTTAAATAATTTTGATCATTTTATTGCTATTTAAAAAGCTTTCTAATTACAATAATATCATGTTTAAAGTAGTGAGAAGAGTTTAGTTCTCTAAAAGTTTTGCGATAAATATTGACGAATGTAAATCGTGAGTAAAAGATCGAATTACAAAAGTTTTGTTTCTGGCTTATTGTAACTATATTTTATACGATGAATTTTAAATTAAAGGATAATTCTGTTCAAGAAGTGTTGTTATAACTGTTGGTAGCTGTTCAACAAGATCTGTATTATCATTTAGATTTGCTGGATTGAGAACATCATTCATCATACCATCAGCATCAATACTCGAACAATTTGTTATAGCATAGTTCAAACGTTCATACATAATTTCAATGGTTGAATATTCAGGTAAATCAAGAATGAAAAAACATGTATGTGCTCCTAGATAAAGAAATTTATATTAATATGATAAAAAATTATTATTCTTTAACAGATGCCATTATGAAAAAAGAACAAATCTATAAACAAATGTTTCTAATTACATTAGATATTTTCATATGCAAACTTTAATTTCTTTATGAATTGTAGCAATAAATCTGATCGTAGAGTCTATAGCACATTCTGTCTTTGGTGACGATCTGGAAAAGATTTCAAGCAACAAAATCTATAGACTTATTTTCAATAATAATTCTATTTTGAAGTGTGAATGTCGGAATAGATTGAAGAAAAAACGTAGATTCATACCTACAAATGTGACTTACTTGGAAGCATTTGATCCGTTTCATGATTAGCATTTGGAAAAATTGTTTGAATTATAAATTTCATTGTAAACTCTTTATCTTCTCTTGGTAAAGTACTTCGTCCCCAAACGAATATTAGAAATAATTTCTTTTGTTCTTCATCGAACATTTCATTTAGAACTGTCCAAAATCGTTGAATATGTGGTGAATTTTCATTATATTGATCACTATAAATTGTATTTCGTTTTAATAATAATACATCAATTTCTCCTTTTCCACATATAGCTATTTCAAGTTCATCAGCTGTAAACAATGTCAAAAAATCACTTGGAATAATACTACATAAACCTTGTCGAATATATTCAATTTGTCGATGAAATTCATTTAAACGATATTCACGATAACGTGTACAATATTCTATTAAATTTTTAGTTGTAACTGGAATATCTTGACCACCAGGTATAAGTTCATAGGTTTGTCCTGATGAACTAATAACATCAAAACGAAGTTCACTTAAAACACTACTAAATAAATAATTCATATCATTATCAATATCAATATCAATCAATTTATTTTGTTCAATATTAATTTCCATTTCTTTAATAATTACAATAGATTGTATATCAATTGTTTCAATATCTTTCATAGTTAATTTTTCTCCTATTAATTGTTTCCATAATAAATTTGGAAATTTTAAATTTAAATAATGTTTTTTTCGTATAGCCATACCCATTAATTGTCCAATGAATTGATATTGTTTTTTAAATTTATTTGAAATTGGTTTATCTGGTGGAAAAACATTTGGTATCCAACAATCACGATTTAATCCATTATTCATTTGTCCATTTGGACATAAAATAAATAATGGTAAACGTGTACTACATATATCCGAACAAATAGCTGTTATAGAATCTCGATAAGGTCCACCTTGATCAGTACTATGCATTTCAAGATATTTTGCTCGCCATAAACGTTCATATTTTTGTCGAAATAATATATGAGCATTTTCATGTAATTGTTGAAATGCTTGATTGAACATCGTATTCTCTCCTTCGTTATCATTAATACTAGCTTTAATAGTATCAAATTTAACTTCAGGTAATTCAATAAAAGATGCACATTCAGTTTGTATTAAGGATTGTTCAAGCCATTGAAGTTTTCGTTTTTCTAATAGATAAATTTTAATAATTCTGATATAATCTATTAGAATACTTTGATTTGGTAATAAACTAAAATCGAGTAATGATAGAATTTTTTCGACAAATATATTAAATTGATAGAAAAATTTAGCTCGAACTTGTATAAATTTAACTGGTATATTTAATAATGCTGGATAATTTTTATAAAATGTTGAATTAGATATTGATTCAGTCAGTAAATCAGAGATAAATTGATTAAATGAATTATCCATTGATGGATGTTCATTCATTAATTTAATCAATTGTAGATCAGCTAATGTATCAAAAAGTATATTTGATTTTTGAAAATCATCTGAAGTAAATTTCGGATTTTCACTCAAAATATCATACGTTTGTTCTATGAATTGTTTAGGATACGGTATATGTTTACTTTTATCGGTCAATGCTTCAATAATATTGATAATTATAATTTGATCACGAAAATTTTGTGAACATTCAGCTAATTCGAACTTAAATTGTTCATTTTGTTGTTCTATTGTCATTATATCTTGAGAAGTTTGTCTTTGTATTAGAAGAAATATTAAATCCATGACAATAGTTTGTAGTGTTCTTGTTGTTGGACTGGTTATTGGTGTAGTTATTAATAATAATTCATTTAATAAATGAAATAGGAACTTTTGTGATCGCACATTTAAATTGAAAGTTTTACTCGCTTGAATTAAGCTAGCAAATAAAAAAGAAACAAATTTATTTTTATATATGATCATTTTAAGACGAATTGCGAAACTTGTATCGAGTTTCGCAAAAACAAAATCTTTATAGAATGTTGTATTATTCTCCTAGTTGAACAAGAAATAATGAATGACTATGTCATAAATAGGAATGTTCCATGCGGGAGAGTCTGGGTAAGCTCTTCAATCTGGAAAAATTTTTGTTATTTTTTTGCTTATCAATTTTCAAAAATCGCTCGACCTTCCGAATCCAGTCAACATTAGCAAAAGAGATATCGGGATACTCCTGATCATAAAAATGATAAATGACTACAGATTATCAAATTCTAGACCTATCTAAATAACTCGATAAGACTAGAAAAATATTGAAAGGATTCGTCCCCATGAACCTTTAGAAGAGATTTATTTGAAATTTTACCTATAGATAGGTCTAATCATTCTTAGAATCTTCTGAAAGTTTCAGTCGAAAGGAACCTTTTTTTTTTATTGAGATATTGAATTCTCAAGTCAACTCGATTTTGGTGGTATGTTTATGGGAAAACGGCTATTTTTTAGAAATTAATTATCTTGACAAAGGAACATTCTTTTCTCTTGACATGTTTAGGATATTTTAAGAGTCTATAGGTCTATCTGTGGATAAAATTTCAGATCGAAATTCTACTATTGTATTTTCCATTACATATTTAAAATGGACCGAAAGTTCAGTAAAAATTGAATATAACTCGATTTGAAAAGCCTATGGAGACGAATTCGTTTAGGTTTTCTTTAGTCTTACCAAGATCTCCATATACACTAGATCGTTATTTATGTACATTCTTCCTTTTACGATATATGAAAGGTGAATGTGATGACTAACATGTGATTATAAGAGAAAAGAGAAAATGAAAGTATCTTTCAAATATGTAAACCATATACTTCCTAATAATCGTACAATTAGACTAGAAAGAACTTCTATTCTCAATCTTAGGAGTAGGATTGAAATATGAGAGATCTAAAAAGATCATTTTGTTTTTAACTATTTTTCTTTCGCAATAGATTGTTCGATAGATTTTTAGTCAAATAGGAAAATAATAAATTGAATAAAGACTGTAAATATAAATACGTATACTTACGTAACAAATAGACGAAGGACAAATATTTTTGATTGATGTTTTGGAAGTAATAGAAATGAATCAAACATGAGATTAACAAATGATGTTCGAAAAACAAGTGGAAGAAATAAATCAATTTCATTTTGTTTCATTATTGATTTATCAGTTGCTAATTTAACGAAAAGATTTAATATTTTAAAAGTGAAATTTAAATTTGATTGTTTAATCATTGTTTCTTCATCAATAACTAATGTTTCTTTATTTTCTAAGTTACATAATAATAATAATAATAATGAAGGATTCAATACAAATTGAATCAAATGAATAATTACATCCTTTTGTAATTCATACAATAATGGAGCTTTACTTTGTAATATTTCAATAGTAAATTCATTATTTATATTTGCTTGTTTAATCAATTCTTTTGTTTCAAATTGAAGAATAGAATGAATTAAAAAAGTTATTCTATCCATATTATCATCTATATACGTAGTTCTATATGTATAATGATAATCTAGTAATCGCAATAATTTAACAATAAATGTATAATTGCCAAATTTTTTCAATGAAAATGAACTTGAATCTTCATTTGACCAAACTTTTAATATATTCAGAATAGTATTACGTGCATAGATTGATATTAAACCATGTTCACAGGCAAAACGTGAATTAAAATATTGTTTTTGTGAACTTTGTTTATGAGAATATTGAATAGATTTATGAATGATTTTTTGTTGATCAAATATCTCAATTGTAAATTGTTGTTCAGATTTATTCAAATCTAATAGTTGATAGATATCATTTAAATTTGTTCTTGATGATTTATCGTTCATCCATTCGAATATAGTATTTGGTATCTGTAATCCATGAACTGTTTGTTGATACCATTCTTTTTCGAATCGTACTTGTTCATTTTTATCTGAATCATTTGAAGGATTTGATGATATTTGTATAGAATTTTTATAATCACATATTAATTGACCAATAGTTATTATATTTTCATTATTGAATTCTAGAATGTTTTCTAACTCATGCCATTTTTCTTGTACGAAAGATGGATTCAATCTGGATAAAATGATAAAATTATGTTTTTGTTGATTTTCATATTCAATTTTTAAAAATTCATCTTTATTTTCGCGTATAATCATATCAAGAATTTGACTATTTGTCGTATTCATTTTTTGTATGGCCCATTTGATCCATTCTTGTTTATAACCGATAGCAATTAAATTCGATGCAATCAAAGAAAAAGGTGGTGCTACTAATGATACTAACGAATCATTTGATGATTTTATTTGTTGATTAATTAAATTGAATTCTATGAATCGATTTAGAAATGTAATCGATTTACATTCAATTCGAACTATATCATCTTTTGTAGTATTCATTAGTAAATCTGTTTCTCGAAATAGATCAATTCGATTGGTTCTTAATAAAAATTGATCCTTATCAATATTTGAACGAATTTGTAATAATCCATTAGTATAAATTTCAATAGATTTCTTTTGAACAAGAATAATTAAACGTATATATTCATTTAATTTCAATGTAGTTTTACTTTTAATTATTTTTCCATGATCAAATAGACAAAATTTACCACTAGGTGTAATATAAATTCCAGTTTCTGAATGAACAGATAAAATTGTTATATGTTCATTAATTATTGGTAAATTTGGTAAAGAAATATCAAGTATAATTGTATATTCAAACCATTGTTGAATTGATTTTTCAAGAACAAGATAAGTTTTATTACCAAATAATTGTATAGTTGATTCATTAGTTTCATTAATTGTTCGAAAATATTTTTCTTCATCAATATCAATTTGATTTTTTTTTCTCTTCCAAATATTTTCATCAAATGGTTCATTGAATGCAACAAGTAATTCATTATCAAATTGTTGTTGATTTTTATTAAAAATAAAATAATTTGCTTGTTGTCGATATTCTTTCAATTGTTTATAATCAATAGCTACATACGATAGACCATAAGTAAATAAACGTCGAATATATTTTTCACATAGATCATAATTCCAAATACCAAGATTTTTAATTCTAGCGCTAATATTTGGTAAAATATGAAAATTAAATTTTATCATTGTTTGTATTTCAAAATTACTATCAATTATTTGATATAGATTATTTAAATAGATTTTAATTTTTTGTTCTTTTAAACAAATTACAATAGCCGTTCGTGTTCGATGATCAATTTTATTCAATGGAATTTGTACAGAAAAATTTTCAGTTGTTTCTAATGTAAATAATACAAATAATTGATTTGAAATTTTATTTAAAATTTCAAAATCGAAACTAATAGTTAATGCTGATTGATGACTATCTATTGATAAAGGAAATCCATTACTATCTTCTGGCAATAGTAATTGATAATCATCTAGAGTATATGAAGTATCAAGATGATATTCATTGACAAAATCACATAGAACTATCTTCGGAGTTATACTTCGTTTTCTAAGAAAAAAATTTTCAGTATTAAATCCAACTAAATAGGCATTGTTTGGATAAGGAACAATAGAATTTTCAATATTAATTAAATTCGGTACTAATAACGGTTTATATCCATCTGGTAATGGACAATGTATCATATCATCTGGACTAAATATAAATTCAAACCAACCAATGCTTGAATCTGGTATTTGAACAGTAACAGCAGGAAAATAAGATGTTTTATGACCATGTGGTAACATATTACATTTTATTGTCGATGTTCCAATATTTGCTTGATGTTCAAAAGGTGTTCCTAAAAATTTTCCATTTAACCAATATTTAATTCGAATATTTTCATCATTAATTTCGATTCCACATCCACAAATATCATTCTGTATCCAACGAATTTCTTCAAATGAAGCAATAAATTCACCATTGTTGTACAGTGTACCACGTGATCCATCATACGACCATGAATATTTATCATCACCTACACCAATACCTACGCTAGACAACGGCGTAAATCCTGTCGTTGCATAACCAATTTGAACAATGCCACCGATTGGCAATCGAACACAATAGTACCATTTACCTTCAGTTAATTGTAGATTATTAACAATGAATGTTGGAAACATTCCAGTCTCACGATCAGTAGTTAGACAGATTTTTCCATTAAATCGATGTTTATCACCACATGTATTGATTAGACTAGGATCGATAAAATTACGTGGCATTGAAAAAATATTCAAGTTTTTATCTCCAATTCGACCGCGTTCAAATAATTCAATTTCTGATTTCGATGCATAAGGTTTCCATCCATTATATTTCAATGAACTTATTGATAAAGCATTGACAATCAACGGATCTCGATTGAATTCATCTTGATTCCAAATAGTAAATGAAGTATCATCTTCAATTTGCATAATTGTTATTGATGAAGATATTTGATTATTACTAATATTAGTATAATTATCATTTTCTATTTCTATAATTTGTTTAAATCTTATAGCATTATCTAAACTTAAACAATATTGTTCTAAATGTTTTTGATTGAATATACGTAAATCAACAGGTAATGAATAATTTTTAAATAAAGAATCTAACATTGATAATTTAGCAATAAATGATGCATAAGGTTTTTCCATGAAAATTTCAAGAAGTTTTTTATCATTTAATATATAACTCAAAGTTAACATAGAACGACGTTTTAATTCTAATAATATTAAAGATTCTGTTGTTGATGTATCGATTTGTATTATATATCCTAATGCATCAAAAAATGAATGTAACATAAGATTATCATCATTGATATTTGTCAATAAGGATAGATTTGGTGGCATAACATCAATTTCAATTTGTAATTTTTCAGCTGTAATCCATTCAGTTTTATTTGTTTTTAAATATTGAATAAAATAGGATAAGACGACTTCAGATGAATTTAAATTTTCATCATCTATATTAATATCAATAATTATTGCTAGATCAAATTCATTACTTTCTTCATTAGGATAGACATTAACAATTGAACCTAAACAGTATGGTTGAATATATCCACCTAAAACACATAATGATGCAAAAACATAATTCATTTGACTGATATCAATGATTTCAAATGATTTCAACTTAATCTCATTTACACATGATATAATTATATTACAAATAAATTCTATTGCCATTAATTGCCATGATGATTTTAAAGACATTATTGTACGATAGATATTTATTAATTCAGTAATTATTTCTGAAGTCATATTCTGTTTTATAAAACTATTACCAATTGAAATTAAAAATTCATCTAAGAGATTTTTCATATACATAATTGTTGTTTCCGGTAATAATGAAATTAAATTACGTAAAATTTTTAATGCAAGTAAAATTGTAATAGAATTTTGACTATTACGATAAATATATAATAATTCTTCAATATAATCAATATTTGAACAAATTAATCGAACATTATCATATAAATAAATACATCGAAGTAAAAATACTAATAATTGATTTGTATAAAGTTCAATTTCAAATTTTGATGATAATTTTCGTGAATGAATAGATGTATTATTTTCAATTGTTACTACTTTAATAAACCAATCGATAGCGGCATTATTTAATGAATATTTTCTATTTTCTATTGAATTATAAATTTCATTTTCTATATCAGTTGATAATGATTGTTTTAATTGTTTTAATGTTTTTAATTCATTTAAAATTAAAATATTAAAGACAAATTGTTGTTGTTGTTTTATTATTTTATTAGATATACTTTTGATTTCATCTAATTCGATATTTTCACATAATTTAAATACATAAAAACGAAACCAATTGTATGCAGTTAATTTAGTATCAAATGAAATCATATGATTTGATTGTTGAGTAAAACTAACAAATGATAAAAATAATATTTCAATAAATTGATTTTGATTTAGATAAATAATATCAATTGATTCATAAGATAGATTGAGTAAATTAAACATATTTTGTACTAATAATTTTGGTTTTAATGTTAATAAATTTAAAATAAAAGAAAAAATACTTTTAATAATTGAATAATATGTATCAAGAATTTGTTCTTTAATTTGATTGTTTGTTGCTTGAATATTTTTCCCATAGGACCATTCTAAATCGGAATTTCTTAAATGAGGTAAATAAAGATTTAAAATTGTTACAATACGATCTTGATCATCAATTTCTAAAAGATTTTGAATAAATTTATGACTAAATCTATATGTAATAAGTCGTATCATTGCTCGTTCATAACATCTAGACATACATTGAGAAAGTTCATCTAATTCTAATTTATTTTCTTCATTTGTTATGAATGTTGTCGTCTTATAGACATTACCATAGACAAATGTATCAATTAATCGATTTAAATTATTTTCAATTTTAAGATTTAATTTCGTTTGTTTTTTAGCTAACATTAATTTTTTAAATCGAATACATGCTTGCATTGTATTACGAAGTAAACGAAGAACATATTTTGCTTTTGTCCATCGGGAAATTTGTCGTTGAAATGATAATCGTTTTTTTGGTTGTATATTTGTTAAAGTTAATGATGATGATGATGATGATAAATCTTCATCTGTTTCAATTATTGGAATTAAATTTCCTTCTCGAACATATAAAAGTAGAAATAATGTATTCATTTTAATTTGTTTATAAAGTTCATTTAAATTACCACCTTGTGCTTTTATTGTAGCAAATAATATTTTAACATCATTGGCACATTCATATATTGATAATAGTTTATTATGTGGTTTTTCATCATTCATTCGTAATAATTCTCTTTTAGCAAGATCAATTCGACGATAATGTTTAATATAAACAGCAAATAAAGCAGCACATGCATCATTTGATTCTTGTTCGATTGATTTTAATAATTGTTGTCTATCTTCAATATGTTCTTTCATTTTTGATATTAATCGTGCACCTTGATCAATATTATTGTAAATTGACATTAAAAACTTATCGTCTGACAATGATGATGATGATTGTTGTATTTCATTGTCCAATTTAAATTGACTATACACAGCAAGATTCGATTCGTATAGATCGGATAGATATTTATTGTTTTCAATTATTATTTTTTCACATCCACCAGCAAATAGAAGCGATTTCAATTTATCGATATGTATCAATTCTAATAAATTCTGTTCAGGACCAATAATCATCACATTACTCATTTTACCTATTAGCCAACATATGGAATATAGATTATTTGTCAAATATTCATGATTCATAGTATTTTTTAATAGATATTCTACCAATATTGGCAATATTGTTGTGAATATTGGTTGAATTGTAACAAAATTAAAAATTTTTTCTGTTTGTGTCATCAAACATAAACCAAGAAAAATTGAATTCAATAAATCATGATCGATACAAATTTTTAACATATGAGTGAGATAGTTTATCACAAACGATATAGTACCATGAGAAATACAAAATTCGGTTAGTTCACATTGAGTTTCATTATCATTTTGAATATTTTTCATTTGTATTGGTGAGATTAATCGAGTTAATAAAATTTCTTGAAATATAAGTAGTATTTGTTTGATTTGTTCTTTTCGTTTCGAATCTGTATTGTTCGATGCATTTAAACAAATATCAATGAAAGAATATAATATTTTTAATGCTATCATTTTCTCTGACTTGTTATCATCATTATCATTGACTAAAACTTCAATCCAATTTAATAATATTACATTTTTTTTCAGTTCTATAAGTAATTGGTCAATCAAAAGAGGATATTTATTTTCAATAATATAGGTATGAAAAAATGATAATTTTTCAGTAAATGATGATACTTTTTTATCAATAATATAAATCAAAACTTTTGATGCTTCTCGACAGATTGTTATTTGTTCTAAATTTTCATCGTTATTACAAGCTAATTTTAAAAAGAAATTAAACCATAATTGATATTTATTATCATTTGTAAATATTGTTAAATCGATATCAAATTTTGATTTAATAGAACAAGTTCGAACAACTTTTCTACATTCATCATTTGTCAATAGTAAATCTCTATCGAGTGTTGATATTGCCGTGCATAAAAATTTCAGATGTGTTGTGAATAATCTTAAACAAACATTTAGAATATGACAAATAATCATATTGGAATTCTTTATTGTGTTTTGTGTCAATTGTTCAATTATATGAAACAATTGTTCGAATGTAGTTGAATGAAATTCGAATGAAATCGAACTATCGATTGAATCATGTTTGAATTGTTCAATTGAATGAATTCGATTATAAAAATTAATGTGTGCCAAAACAACAGATGCAACAAATGGTCCAGTAAATTCTTTTTCATTCAATTGAATTAATTGTGAATTTGGAAATACACCAATTGTTTTTAAATAGTCTAATAAAATTGATAAAAATTCATTTAGAAATGTTCCTTTTATACGTAGAACAACATTCATCCATGTTATGTTCATAGTAAATCGGAGTGAATAGCAGAATAGAAGTTTCTATTACAAGTCTCAATCAGTTATTCTAAATCAATGTCATTACTTGAGACGGCAAAGAATTAGGAGTGTACTTGACCATAAAACTCGCGGAAGCTGCTCATTTTGTGGCCTTGCAAAAGGTCGATTACAAGTATTTACTAATAGCATGCAGAAGAGAAGCACAAGAGATGAACTTTATAATCGGTACCCTATTCGAAAGATTAGATTCCAGTCAGATTGTGGTTTTCGTGTTCTATCGTTAAAACTATAATAGTAGGTGTGGTGGCATTCTGTTTCTGCTTTTCGAATTGTTGAAAACGACTTCGATAGATAATTATCATCTCATTAGATCAAACTTTTCGACTTTTGCCACGAGTAGGTTTCATTTCTCTCTGGCGATAGTTCCTTCAAGATTCATCGAATTCCGAAAATGCCCATGTCGAAATTCGGTTGCAAGGAGTCTGTCCGAACTCAATGAAACCAAATGGATCAGAATGGCTTGGGATACGTTGAATGTACGATTCACCTGTGAAAATTTCGGCAGCAGACAGATAGCTTATTAAAAGCTTCCAAATCGACTTAGATTCAATAATTTGGTTTTTTTATCGATCTAAACTGGTTCGGATAGTTTCAACAGATTTTATTTCTAATTGAAGACATGTGATAAATGAGAATAATATCATCTTTGTCACTTAGATTGACTGACATGAAACAAAAAAAAGTAGCATTTGATATCGGACAATACATCAACAATTCTAATAGAAACATATTCTAACCTGTCGTTTCATTTGCTGTTGTATCATCATCTGTGTCTTGTTCGAAATTATCATTGAAATCATTATTTTGTCGTTGTTGTTTTTTCTTTTTCATTCTATTGAGAGTCTCTATTAAACAATTATTCAATTGAATAAATAAACGTCGAACATTGTAAATATGAACTTTATTGAATATGAGTTTTCTTAGAATTGGTAGAATATCTTTAAATGATGCTTTTGCAAATGCAAAATTCAATAGAATTTTTATAGATTTGTTTGCCATCATAAGATTTTTTGATAGTGATAATTCATGAAAATAATTTGTCAACGGTTGTAATGAATTGAACCAGTGATTATTAATACTTGATGAGGATTCAGATGATATGAAACCGATTATAGGAATTCGATCACACAATTGATTCGCTAATGTTAATAATTCTTGAACAAATGTTGGATCATTTTTTTCTGCTGATTTTATTAAAATTACTAATAAAGATGTTAACGATTGTATAGCAAAATAAGATTCTTGTTGAGCTTGTAATTTTATCTGTTGAAGTTTTTGTTCGGCAATATTAGATTGTTGTATATCATCATTATCAATTTTATCTTTGATGACAAATGTGTCTATGTCATCAGAAATTGTGTCATCATGCGATTCAAAAGGAATGGATTGATCAATATTTTCATTTTCTTCTAAATTTTGTTTCAAAAATATATTTAACATTAGTTGTTGTTGTTTTTTCACAATAGATCTAATATCTTCAATGGTTTCTCGATAACGAACAGAAATCAATGGAAAAACATCTGTTATAAGTATTTCATTGATTTTACAATTGATTTTTGTAATATCAGTTACATGTACTTGTAGAGAGAGATGCTTTTGAATTTGTTTCATTAATTGTATATGAGCATTTGCAATTGGATCAAAACCAATTGAACTTGTTGTCATACCATCAAGAGCTTTGATGCATGAAAATAAATGAACATTTTCATCACCACTACGAGATACGATTGTGTCATAATTAAATTCTATATCATTTGTATCAGTTCCTTCGGAAGCTTTTAAATTAATATTCGATAGTTGTTGACTCATTTTCATATACACCTTATAATAAATTCAATTACTGATAGAAAATCTAAAAATATAGAATCATTTCGCCACAATGATATCAATATTTATTGTTAAGATTCATCATGTATTTTATATCGGTGTTATAAAAAAATTCGCATCACTCTATAGGTTTACCACGCCTTCAATTGTATAAAAATTTCTAGATTTATGTTTAGAGTTGAAACATGGTTTGTGCACCTATATACATTTTAAAAACAGTGACTAATGGTACACTTGAAATGATAAAAACAACGGAAAAACAAACTAATTAGTTTCTTGATTTCTAATGATTTCTAATATGAGAAATAATTCTTTCGTGTTAATTAGAAATCAATGAAACTGTAAGAAAATTTTCATATAATTCATAGTCATAGGAAAACCAACGACGACGACTGTTTTAAAGTAATAATAGAAATGAATTTAATAACA